GTCGTCCATCCTCCTGCTGGGGTCCCTGCCAGACTGCCCGGCCCCTCCTCAGTCCCAGGAGATGTGGGGCTAGAAAGGGCGAGAGGGGGCCTGAGAGGCTTCAGACTCCAGAGGAAGCCGGGCAGAGATGCCTGATTCAGCTGTTTTAAACTTTGCAGCTCCTGACAAAACCCAGGAGCATAAGCGACCAGAGGCAGTTCTGCACTCACGTCCCTGGACCCGTGACTGCAGGAGGGGGGCGGTGACTCCCCACTCCCCACCCTCCTGGGGAAGGGCCTTCTCCAAGGCCTAGGGAGGCCCTCCTGAACCCTTCCTCAGCATTGACTCCCCCTGAACGCCCTCCTGCACACCTCTTCATGCCGTCCGAGGCTTCTCCTCGGGCGAGAAGCCCTCCTCCGTACCCCAGGTCCTGCCACGTCAGCATCCACGGCCGACCATCGACTCCTGGCCTCATGGCTCCCCAGCAGTGACCTTCTCATGTCCAGGCACCTCCCCTCCGTCACGGCTGACTGTCCACCGCCGTGGTCTTCAGAGCCATCTGCCTCTCTGGGCACAGCTTCCAGGGCCCCCAGTGCCTCCCCCTCCCCCCAGAATGCCTGCCTGGCAACCTCATCCAGCCCTCCAGGGCCGTGACCACATCATCCTGACCTTGCTGTGCCCCAGGGCGACCCAAACCATGAGCTAACTGCCCCAAGCAGCCCAGACCCGCACACCGTCCGCTCTCCCCTCAGCCCCTCGGCCTCGACCTTCCAGTTTCCCTCTTTCCATCTCACGCGCATCCCCACACGCGAACTGCTAGGTGAAGCCAGAGAAAATCAAATTCCAAGTCAGGGCCTACAGCGGGCAGAACAGTGGCCCCATAGACATGCAAGCCTAATGCCCAGAGCCTGAGACTCTCACTGTTGTGGCAAAAGGGACCATGCGCTGTGATTAAATTGCAGATCCTGAGATGGGGAGATGGTCCTGGATTATCTGGGTGGACCCACTGTAACCACAAGGGTCTACTTAAGGGCAAGAGGGCAGCAGGAGAGTCAGCGAAGAGGGACAGGCTGATGGAAACAGGTCAGGTGACGGGCTCTCTGACAGGTGGAGGACACCAGGGCCTCTGGACGGAGGGAGGCCACCTGTGACTCCCAGGCTGGACCGGGGGCAGCATGCCCGCGGCTGCAGAAGGTCCCGGCCGCACGGTGCGGGGAGGCAAAGGACGCAGCAAAAAGAGGTTGAGACCAGCTGGGCAACACACACCTAAGGCCATCTCTTGGCCTGATTAAGACTTAGCTCAAAATCAGATCGACACGTTTCTGAGGAAGCTTCGCTTGGCCCCACGTAGGAGTTCCTCAGCCCCGGCTCCACACAAGGCCCTCCTCCCAGAGGCGTCTTCCTTGCTGCAACTAGTCTGGTTCTTCTTGGGACAAGTGGACACTGGTTCATCTGGACGCTGGTTCACGTGGACGAGTCAAACATGGACAACTCCTGGTGAGCTGAGCAGGGCATCTCCACCTTGAAGACTGCAGAAAATGTCAGTCTTCCTTGTGGACTAGATCACAGAGGTGGTGATGGTGTCTCCCCTCCCTCCTGGGGGGCCCCTCAGCACCTGGAAGCAAATTAGCTACCGGCCCAAGCCTTGCTGGGCCTGCCCATGTCCTCTGGATCATCTAGTGGAGTCAGTTATTTGAGCTCTCGCCCCTTCTTTCAGTCCATCTGTCCATCCGCTCAGCCATCCATCCTCCAGCAAACGTTTATCACGGAGCCCAGCCCTGGGCTCCACTCAGGGAGTTCTCTGAGGGAACCCAGAATGAGCACAGAAGACGATTCTGTATCTCTACCCTCTAGAAGCTCACGGTTCATCAGAGAAAGCTGACCCACCGGCAGTCTGCAGATGATGACAAGAACAAAACCGTCCTGAACCCGGCGCCTAACGTCGATTGTTCGCTCGGGCTGCCACGAGAGAAAGGGCTTCCCCGGTGGCTCAGTGAGGAATCTGCCTACAGTGCAGGAGACCTGGGTTCAATCCCTGGGGCGGGGAGAAAGACCAGACAGGGTAGCTTGAACAGCAGCGTGTCTTCTCTCACAGTTCTGGGGGCTGGAAGCCCAGGTCACAGGGCCAGCGCGGTGTGTTCTGAGATGCGCTCTCCTTCTCATCGTCTCGTGACGTCCTCCCGTGGCCGAGAGGAAGGCAGAGGAAGCTCTCCGTCTCTCTTGGTAACTGAGCCTACTCAGCTCCCGAGGCCCCGCTCTGAACGCAGTCACGGCAGGGGTCGGGCCTTATCACCGGCATTTAAGGGGACCTAGTTTGGCCCACAGCACCTCCCTCGGGCTGAGCCGGTGAAGTGCATTATCTCAAACCCTAGAGGAGAGGCAGTCAGAGAGGCCAACCTGCTGGGCACCACGCAGCTGCAGGCAGGGCTCCCAGCGGTCCCAGGACAGGTAGGGACAGCCCTGGCTCCACAGGCAGAGCGGACTGCCGGGCACGGCCCCCAGAGCAGAGACGGTCGGTCTGAAGGAACGTTTAGAAAACGGAGGCGAGAAAGTAGATCTGCCTGTTGCCCTGGGTGGCCAGCCTCAAGCCAGAAGATACAAAGACCTCTGTCTCCAGGCTGCAATTCCCTTAACCAGTCGGAGGGGCTCAGGACACGCTGGCTCAAGGTACGGTAGCTTGGCATGCTGCATATTTTAAGTTGAAGGAATCTGAGACACAGCTCACCCAGAAAGGCCTCTCTGCCCCTCCCATGAAGCAGGTCCCAGGACGCTCATGTGCGACGTGCTCTTCTTGCCCTAGAAAGAAGGAGCAAACGCCCCACAGATGCAGACAGCAGCTGAACGAACAGACCTTGCTTCCCCCAGTTTCCTGCCCTTCACTTGGACCCTTCCGACCTGTTGTGTTTTCCACTCTTCATCACACACAGCAACTCTAGAACACTCAGGTGTAAACTGTGAAGACCGTTTCTCTCTGGATAAGGAAAGGGATATTACAGACAAAAAGAGCAGAAAGTCATGTTCTTTCTCCATATACATGTATGTGGTTGCATTTGTTATAACGAACATGCTTTCATTTAGGGAAAAAAATTAAATTATTACAATAAACTATTTAAAAAACAGACTCAAATTTGTTTCTTTGGGTCTTCATTTTTTTATGAAGGCTCCGGCACCATATAAAACTTACATTAATCTCTATGCTTTTCTCTTGTCAACTTGTCTGCTCTTAGAGGAGCCTCAGATGAGAACTTAAAGTGAAAGTGCAAGTGGCTCAGTCATGTCCGACTCTTTGCAACCTCATGTTCTATATAGTCCATGGAATTGTCTAGGCCAGAATATTGCAGTGGGTAGCCTTTCCCTTCTCTAGGGGATCTTCCCAACCCAGGGATTGAACCCAGGTCTCCCGCATTGCAGGTGGATTCTTTACCAGCTGAACCACCAGGGAAGCCCAAGAATACTGGAGTGGGTAGCCTGTCCCTTCTCCAAGGGATCTCACTGACCCAGTAATCAAACTGGAGTCTCCTGTATTGTGGGCAGATTCTTTACCAACTGAGCTATCAGGGAAGCCAGAGAATTTAAAAGGTAGAAGACAAATATATATTTCCTCCTCACAGTGACCTTGAGAGCCCCTCCCAGCTCCAACCGTTGATTAGGAGTCTGGGCCCTGAAACCTGGTGTCCTTATCTGCAGTGGTACACAGAGGCTTAGCACAGTGCCTGGTAGAGAGCAAGTGCTCACTGAGGCTGAGCTATCACTATGCTCAGCATCATAATTAACTGTCTGAATTCCACGGCTAGATGCGCAAATGGTTCTCCTCATGCAGAGTCTTTTTGTAAGCCATGTCAGCCTGAGGCCAGGATTTCAGAAGTCAAACCCCTACCCGGCTCAGGGGTCTCCTCCTGGCCATGCATCATCCCCTTGACCACACCCCAAAATAGGCTCCTGGTGACTTGAGGAAGTAGACACAGACCCGGGGGGGTGTAGGGGTTCTAGCCTGGAGGACCAGCCTGCGGCCAGGGGATGGGGTGGGTGGACGTGAAGGGGGACTCAGGACCCTCGCTTGGCAGTCCCAAACCCCACGTGTCCTCTGCTGAATCCATACACCCAGCAGCCACTTAATAGTCACCTGTAAATCAATCTACTTTTGTTCTTCTTCACTGAAGTATAGTTACTTTGTAAAGGACAATATAACTGGAAAATCCTTATTACCTGCCATTAATAGAAGGTAAACCTAAAACTAAAAGCCTGGTGTTCCACAGTCCTTGGGGTCGCAAAGAGTTGGACATGACTTGGCGATGAACAACAACAAAACTAAAACAACAGTGACAACAGCGCTACAGTTGAATCCAGTGGGTTTTTGTTCTCCCTACACTATTCTCAGAAATGTGTGAAAGACTTACTAATCCCCAAAAGAGCTTTTCTTCTGGACCCAGTTGGAGGGAAGGAAAGAGAACTGACAAGGAAATAGTGCAAGAGCGACCTGGGGTGGTTGGGGTGTGGGGGTTCAGGTCTAGAGTGCGTTCACCCATGCCGTGGGTCCCCCAGGCCCCAGGACGGAGCCCCACTCACCTGGTCCCAGGCGAGGACACAGGCCTGTGTCCCTGGGTCTGCGCCCTCCCCCAGCAGCTCACTCCTCCGTCAGCCCCAGCAAGAAGAGGCCCCTCTTCCTGCTCAGGCCCTCTGAGCCGGGCTCTAGGGGTGGCAAGCCTGCAGCCCGCCTGAGCCTTCCCTCCTGCCTCACCCTGCTGTGCTCCTGGCCCTAGGGAGGGGAGCCAGCCCTGAAACCCAAGGAGCAGCCGTCCTCGGCGAGGCGCCGGGGTGTGCATTAATAGAAGCTTCCTCAGGCCTCTGACACGCCTGGGCAGCTGCTGAACCCGTCCAGTGGCCTCGCCCACGGCCAGCCCACCCTGGCTCAGCCCAGCACACTAAACTTAGCTTCCATCCCCGGCTGGAGCCACTGCCGCCGCCCCAGCCCGGAAGGACACGGCCGCCGGCCCCCAGGCGCCCACTGCCCCGGGACCACCATGTCCCCAACCAAAACCCTGAAGGTCCGAGTGGCCCTCCTCTGCGTCCTGGTGGGCACTGTGCTGGCCCTGGTGGCCGTGGTGACGGACCACTGGGCCGTGCTGAGCCCCCACGTGGAGCACCACAACACCACCTGCGAGGCGGCCCACTTCGGCCTCTGGCGGATCTGCACGAAGCGGATCTTCGTGGGCGACAAGGAGAGGAGCTGCGGCCCCATCACCCTACCCGGGGGTAACGTACCCGCCCCGCCCGGCCCTGTAGGAGGACGGGGCTCCCCAGACCGTATCAGAGCTGCACCGGCCGCGCCTGGGCAGGGGGCGGTGGGCCAGCCGAGCGCCTGGGCGGGGGCGGCGGGCCGGCCGCGGTGGGGCTCCGCGGAGGCAGAGGCGGGCTGCGGAGTGCAGGCGCTGGTCTCCAGCTATTCCCGCGCTGGGGTTCAGGGCTGGTCAGGGGCAGGGGTCTGGATGGGCGGACAGACCTCGGCTCAGGAAAGAGAACGCGGGTCTACAGACTCAGCCTGGACGGCCCCCCACCCCCAAACGCAGCCCTCAGGCGGAAGGGCCGCCTCGGGGGGAGTTCATTCCAGGCTGAAGTGGGGACACACTCCTAAAGGGTTACCGGGCCCTGGGCAAAAGGAGAATGCAGGACTCCTCCTAGTGATTATCAGGAGTCTGAAGGCAGCAGCAGGAAACCCAGTGAGCGTCCCTCCTGGGTGCCGGCCCTGAGCGCCCACACAGGCGGCTCGCCTGTGAGGCGGGACCCCCTTTGTGCGAGGACTGTGTGTCCTGCGCCTCCTCCTGAACCCGGCCCCCTTCAGACTTAGGAAATGCTTCCTCTCCCTGCGGTTTAAAAGCCTGCCTCACTCTCCTAGTGGTGAGCGAACCACACTTGAAGGAGCTCTCTGTGGAGAACACCCGGTGTGAGGGTGACCAGTCTGCCCTGCAGGCGTGGAGCTGCCACATGCTCAGTGCACGGAGCACCTGCTGCGGAAAGAGCCTGCTGGCGGCATTGGAGTCTGAGCTCTGTTCGGGCCCTGCCCACCACCCCCTAGAGGGCCGGGCGAGACTCCACGTCTTCCTTTAACACGTGGGCTCAGGTCCAGCAACCCAAAGTCCTCTCCAGCGTTCCTTCCAATGTCACGCCAAGGTGGCTGGTGACCAGGGTGAGTGCAGGCTCCCACCTGATTTTCAGAATTAGTCTGTTATCAGGCTGGGTGTTCCTTGAACCCTGCCCTTCAAGAAAGGCACTGCTAAGTCCCCGAAGACCCTGCGGTCTCTGTGGGGGATGAAGGAGTCCAAACTCCACCCCTCCACTCCTCGCCTTCCTCGCCCTTCCCCCCCGCTGACCCCAGGAAAGCCCTGCCCTGCTCACTCCCATCGGACACCTGGAAGACACAGCGAGTCCCAAGCTTGAAGGCTCTCACAGGCACGGACATGTGCTCGAAGGGTATCATGTAGCCCAGATGCCCACGCCCCGAGGCCACTGCCGAGCACACCCATAAACAGATGCACCATCCCGCCAGCCCTCCTGGGCAGGGCAGATTCTCCAGGGACCGTGCATGGGAACGCACTGTTACGGTCCACCTGTCCTTGGCCCTTTAAAGCCTGGTGAATTTACACAGCAGATGGGCAGGGTGGTGAGGGGAGTCTATGCAAGGAGAGACGACTGGTGGGACGTGCCCGGACCGGCCACAGGGGACGCGCCGACTCGGCCTGGCCGTGAGGCTGAGCCGAGTCGACCTCTAGGCCGTCTTCTCCTGGTCCAGAGTGAATCGCACCTTCGGAGCCTGTGAGCACTGCCTTGGCCTGAGGAGCTGTCCAAGTGCACTCCTGCCTTCTCCCCTCCCCTTTCTCTGCAAGGGGACGTCGTTTTCCTTCCCCACCCATCCTGCCTGCGCTCTACTGGATCACTGTCTCTTGGAGGAATAGAGTTCATATGCCTTCTCTCATTAGTCAACAACAACATCTACAAATACAAGTATAGCACTGTCTGCCAAACATATATATTACATATGTTAACTTTGGATGACATCAGAAAAAATGACAGAGTAAGAACCTCCAAAAATTCTTTTCTCCATAAAAACAATGAGAACATTGGCTAACATGATGAGAATAAACTTTTTCAGAACTCTAGAAGTTAACCAGTCTTGCAGCAATAAGCAAGTGCTTATTCAAGAAAGAGGGGTGAATCTCAGTAGGAACAATGAGGTTTGTGGTATCTTAAGCTGCTATTCCAGTTCTTTCCTCCCTGACTCTGTCACAGCCTCAAAAACCAACAGCCTGCCATCAGAGTGAAGCCAGCTGCCTGGAAGTCACCAGAAAGGACAGACTAGGGCTGGATCCCTTTCAAGGCCTCATTCCCAGAGGGCTGTCATTATCTGATCTGTCTGGTGGTTCCCTAGAAGTTCCCCACTTGCAAGGCTGTCTTTATTTGACCTGACTCTGAGCTCATCCAGAGGAAAAAGTCTTTTACCCAGGAGGCATTTGTCAAAAACAATTAGAGACAGTTGTTTAATACCATGACTGCCTAAGGGAGCAGATAACAGAGCAAACAATAGGCTAACCAAAAAACTGGAGAATAAGATAGGTGGCTTTGAAAAGCTCCAACATATTCCTGGGAATTTAGGAAGTCATGTGGGTCCACAGTGCAACAAGTATGCACAGGAAAGATCTGAGAAGGCCATAAGCTCTCACCTCTGGCTTATGCGGAGCTGCGTGAAGAAAGAGAGAGAAAGGAAGAGAAAGAGAGGAGGGAGAGAGTACGAGGAAGGGAGGAAGAGAGACGGGGAAGGAAAGGGAGAGGGCGAGCACAGGGCAGGGGAGGGAGGGGAAAGAGAAAGGGAGAGAAAGGCGAAGGCAGAAACGCAGGCTGCTTCGCTCAGTGCTTGGCTGTCTGCTAGCACGGAGCTCCTCAGCAGAGCCTGGGAGAGGCATGGCTTCCAAGCATTCTAGGAAATCTCTGTGAGCTGACCACCAGACTAACTGAGCAGAGATTTCAGTGGCCATACATGAACAGACTTCACATATTTAATTCAGAAATATAATTTGACAAGCAACAATAACAAACAGCCACAGAAACAAACCCTGGGGAAGAGTGGACATCTAACTTCCAAAGTTATATTGTTTAAAATGTCAAGTTTTAAATTTTAAATCAAAAAAGGTTACAAGACACAAAGGGGCTGCGGTCTCCGATGGGCATCCACAGGGCTCCCTGCAGCAGAGCTTCTGGTTCAGCACAGGGGACACTGGTCATCCTCAAGTACGGAGTCAGGAGAGGGGATGGGCGGGCAGACCTACCACAGAGGAAGGGAGCCAGGACCTCCAGACGCCCTGTGGAAGTGCTTAGTGGCGGGGGGGCGGGGGGGGCGCGGTGCCTGGACTTGTCCTCGCACAATCTGCAGACTGGCTTCCCCAGAGCCTGGTGCTGGTCTGGGGGGTGCTGACACCCCAACCGCCACCTGAGGAAGAGGACCTTTGGCAACGTGGACGTGCCTGCCTTGGCCGGGTCCTCAATGGGCCTTATGTCTAGGCCACTCGTGCTGAAGGCTTCTAACTCAGGGTCTGCAAATTGTCATGGAGGCAGCCAATTGTGAAACACGCTGGAATTCAGTCAATTCCCTTCAGAGGGTTTTCAATGGCAACAAAAATTGGCCCTTAAAGAATGAGACAGAAATTATTCCTCTGTCCAGAGGGAGACCCTGGGGGACCCGTCACCTCGCACGAGGCATTAGAACAGGGCTGCTAGAGAGTCTACAGCTGATAACCTAATACACGCGAGGGAGCTCCGTTAAGCCTGAAAATAGCACCAGAAGCGCCTGACATCACCAGTGGCAGCCACACACCCCAGGTAACTCAGCTCAAAAGGAGAGTGATTTAAATATAGAAGCTCAAAGAAAAGGCTGTTTACTTCACGGAACATTTGCTGCTGCTAAACCAGGCTCCATCTCCCGGCGTCATTCTCTTCCTCCACTGCAGAGCATTAGTAACCCTGACATTGGGGGGTCAGGGGGCCAGAGGTTTCAGTGGGAGATGATATATCTCAGGCAGACGGAAGCCTGGACCCCAGTGAAAGCTATGACTTTGGAAGGTTTTTTTCCCCAAAAGCAACGAGGCACCAACACCTAGTGATCATTAAACTGTGGCCTGAAGATAAAAAAAAATGAAAGCACAAAGTAGATGCATCTAAACCAGGAGCAGAGTTTCCTACTGAAGTTCAAGGATACACAGGAAAAACAATTCAGTGCAGTGCCTCACACAAATAAAAAGCAACATAATTTAGTTTTTTAAGAAACAAAATAGTGTAAAATAACCCATTCATCTACTTCCTAAATCAGCAGTAAAGTACATTAAGTCATGCAATAAGCAATAGTCTTTTAATTTTACAGTATATTTAGTTGTAAGAGAGATTAAAAGAGAAAAATGGAGGAGAAATCATATTGAAAATCAGTGTGAATTTCTTTGTTCTGAGTTCCTCCTCTGCCCCCTACCAAATCCAGATTTTTGGCCCTGCGGCCAATACACATCTTCCATGGCTTTCCCGGCGCTAATCAAGTGGGCCGAGCAGCTCACTTGGGAGGTCTCAGCTGTGCTGCCTCTGTGCTCACAGGCATGGAGGGCCTAATGCTTGAGATGATGGTCATCCGTGGCCCTTCATTCAAGTCCACACAATGGCCCACTCAGCAAAGCCCTTCAGACAGCATTTAAAGGGGCTTGGAGCCAGGTTTCTAAACCTGGCTGAACATCAGAATCTCTGGGAAAGTTCTTGAAAAAGACTTTGTTTCCCAGGTCACACCCAGGGCCTCAGGATGGGCCTGGATGCTGATTGGAAACCAGGGCTGGGTTGTGTGTGACCCAGGGTCTGGCAACCCCAGTGCCTCTGGCATCTGAGGGCTGCTAGTTCTGTGCCCTGCAGGCTGTCCAGCACATCCCAGGCCACCACCCACCAGGTGTCAGTAGCCGTCTGCCCAGCGGGGACACAGAGATGTCTCCAGACACTGCCCGGGGTCCCCTGGGGACAGAAGCAGCCCCAGCTGAGGACCACTGTCTGGCCCTGATTGATGTGTCCTGCAGTTCCAAACAGACTTGAACTCTAGGCTTCAGTTACCCCATCTGCCAAATGGGCTCAGTACCCAGTGCTCTGTGCCCGGACTGAGTCAGCCTCAGCTCCCTGAAGATCCTCAGGCTCTTCTACAGCCCCTTTCCCACCAAACTTTTGGTCTAAGGGTGGAAGAAAGATGCTTGTTTCAGCCCAGAGTCAGGGTCTAGAGAGCAGAGAGCAAGCCAGAAGCCCCAGGAGGACTGGCCCGCCCCCTCCTTGCCAGCTCCCGCCCCAGCTGCAGCCCTTTCTCTCAACTGTCTCCCTCCTTTGCAGAGAAAAACTGTTCCTACTTCAGGCATTTTAACCCAGGCGAGAACTCGGAGATCTTTGAAGTCACTACTCAGAAAGGTGAGCCTGGGCGGAGGGTAGGGAGGGGGAGGAAAAGTGGATTCCACCACTCCCTGCTGAGCTGGGAGATCCCTGGCATGAAAGCAGCCCCTCCTGAAGTCTGTCGGCAGCAGCCTGGCCAACTTCTGTGCCCAGAGACGGCAGCTCCCACCTCCAGGTGTCTCAGGTCTCTGCATCAGGGCTCCCACGCACACACATGCATGCCCAGACACACATACACACATGCATACACTCCGACACACACATGCACACACACACAGATCCTCTCCGGCACTGAGCTCTGTAACAAGCCGCACTCTGTCATCCTTCCAGAGGCTGCTTGTCAGTCCCAGGACAGACCACCCTGAGCCTGGGTGTCACCTTCAGCCCTGACTCTGAGAGGGAGGTTTCTGCTTCAGGCAGGTCTCCAGCCACAAATCTCCGACCACCTTCCAAGGCCTCTGCCCCTGGAAGGACGACCTTCATTTTGGTGCATGGACGACCTGGAGAAGGAATTAGGTCTTGTGGACATCCTGGCCCCATCCTTTACTCATGCGCCACTCGGAAGGAATGATTTCTTCTCCGGCCCTCAGTGTTCTCACCTGGGAAACAAGGGTGACAGAATGCAGAGCAGTCGCTAGCCTGGGAGCAGGAACAATGGGTGAGGGGACGCCGAGCCCCTCCTGAGGGCGCGGCGTCCCTGCACTCTTGTGCCGCAGAGTACAGCATCTCGGCCGCCGCCATCGCCATCTTCAGCCTGGGCTTCATCATCGTGGGCACGCTCTGTGCGCTCCTGTCCTTCCGGAAGAAGCGGGACTACCTGCTGAGGCCAGCCTCCATGTTCTACATCTTCGCGGGTAGGATGGGGCTCCCGTGGGTGCGAGGCCGAGGGATGCTCTCGCCCCTCTCCCCAGCCCGCTGGGGTGGGGGCTGGGTTTGGACAAGGCCCGGCTCCACACCCCTGCTCCCCATGCCCCCGTGACCCCGCCCCCGCCCCTCCACCGCCCCCCCCCCACCCCGCTCCCCCACCTGAACCCGCCCTCACCTTCTCCCCGCTCCGGACCCCCACACCCCCCGCCCCGGCTGTCCCTGCAGGCCTCTGACTCCCGGCCCCCACCCCCTGCCTCCATTCCCGGACCCCCGCCACCCACCTGCCCCCCAGCGCCGCCCCGCCCCGGGCCTGCCCCTCGAGGCCTGCGGCCTGAGCCCGGCTGTGCCCGCAGGCCTCTGCCTCTCGGTGTCGGCGGAGGTCACGCGGCAGTCGGTGCAGCGCATGGTAGACAGCGAGCACACGGCCTGGATCGCGCACTCGCTCGCCTGGTCCTTCGTCTGCGCCTGCGTCGCCGCAGCCCTGCTCCTGATCGGCGGCCTCGCGCTGCTGCTCCTCGCGCTGCCGCGGATGCCCCGCGACCCCTGGGAGTCCTGCATGGACGCCGAGCCGGAGCACTAGACCTGGGCCCGGGCGCAGGACCCGCCTCGGGAGGCCGAGCCCAGGACGGGCTGGAGGCGGCAGCGTGACTTCTCCGCGTCCCCACTGGGCGCACGTGGCGCGTCGCTTCTCCGAGGCCAGCCAGTGACACGCAGCACTTTTCCGCGGCCGGCCAGTGGACACGCGGCGCGGCCCTCCTGGCCAGTGGACTCGGCCCGGCCAGCCAGGAGGAGGGGGGCGGCCGGTGCAGGGGTCCTCGGGGGTCCTCGAACTGCCTCCCCGAGGTTCCTCCGCGGCTCGCCAGACGCCCTGGGTACTCAGCTGTACGAGGCGCCAGCGCCTCTCTGCTTCCTGGTCACCCGACATCCCCTCCTTGGCTTCTGGGAGACCCGACAAGCACTTTTTAACTGGTCGGACTGCGATTTGAAATAAAAACTCTTTGAAACTTGTCTTTCCTTGGCCTTGCGTAGAGCTCGCTTGGGTTCCTGACCACACAGCCTAAGGGCCCCTTGACCCAGAGGAGAAATGAAGGCATAGGCCACGGATGGTGAGGACTTCTGTGGGGACACGGGGACAGAGGGTCTGTCTACCAGTGAGACTTAGAGGCTCTGAATTCCAACTTCTAACTCTGGGCCCTGGGTTGTCTTCAGGAGAAGCCAGAGGCCATCTGAATTGGCAAGCGCTGAAAAACAAGGAGTGTTATTTCTAGAGCTCGCAGTGTCAGAGGCATCCCAGTGCTGACACAGGGCTCCAGCCACCCTGCCAGGAGGGTCTGGTTTCAGACGCTGGATTTTTGTGGCAGAGAACATTAGGTAGCCGGGCTTAGCGCCAAGACACGAAGGGCCACCTGGAGAGTCACAATTTACACTCTTCTGCCTTTGAATCCCCTGCATTCAGCTAGCCCTTGGGGATGGAAAGCCAGACTCTTGAGCAGAAAGGACTCTGTGCCCCTTACCTTGATCTGTTCCAGAGGCCGTGGCCAACCCCCTCTTGCAGGGATGGGTCTCTTGCTAAGAATGGTTTTTATACTTTTAAATGGTAAAGAAACATCAAAGAGGAAAAAGATTTCATGATGTGAAAATTTCATAAAATTCAGATTTCAGTGTCCATAAATAAAGTTTTATCAGAACTGCCAGAGATAAACAAAGCCACAGGTATCCTGGTCAGAACAGATTTTAATCAGTAACTCACTATCGCAGCAAGAACAGAACTGCACTGTATGCCCAGAGGAGATCAGGAGTTTTCTAGGGTGGGTAGGCTCTGTAGAGTTAGAGAAGCAAAGGGCTGCCCAGGGGTGGAAGGGGATAGGCCTGGGAAGCCGTCTGGGTTGGCTAACAGGAGGTGATCCAGTTAGGTGCCAACCCTTACACAGAGGCTGGGAGACCAGGGCCTGTGGCAGGCTTTGGCTGGACAAACAGGAGAGTCTTTAGGCAGCCTTGAATTTTCTCAGGCAGACAGTTTAAGAGGGGCTGGGGTCATCCTCAGGATGTGGCCTTGAGCGGTTAGAAACTATGTTAGTGTTTGTTTGCATTTTTCGAGGCCCACGGTGAGTGCAGAGAGGGCTGGGGGCGCCAGGCTGGAGTCTGGTCCCTGTGACTGTAGTTCCTACTGGACGGGTGTGAACTGAACAGTCGTCAAACCATAACGTGTTCACTTTCTTAACTTTTAAAATTCATCAGATCCCACGAGGTAAGGGAGGTGGCAGAGCCAGGACTAGCAACCCAGTTAGATAAATAACATTTAAATGTGAGATCTTTTTAAAAATGTGGTAAAATATACACAGCATGAAATTTACCACCTTTATTTCTATGTGTCCAGCTCCGCCATGTTACCCACTGTCCATGGCGCTTTTCATTTTGCCAAACAGAAGCTCTGCCCTCTTTAAACGACTCCCCGCCCCCCACCCCTCCAACCACACACTTTCTGTCTCTGTGAACTTGACTGTTCAGGTGCCTCATACGAGTGAGAGCTCTAAACAGTATCTGCTCCTCTATGTCTGCCTCACTTCACATAGTGCTAGTTTGTCTTCTTGGGGCTTTGCTCCTGACAAGTTTCTGGCCTGAATGTGAAAGCCCAGCCTCCTGGAGATGCTTGCCGATTCGGCTTTAAGCCTGCCTCTGTCTTCGCCCACAGAGCAGTCCTGGTAGAACCAGGGAGAAACAGGTGGGGGGTGGGGGGGGGCGGTGTTTACAGCCACAGTCTGAGGTCCTCAGCTCGAGCTTGAGGAGCTCAGAGCAATACCCAACTCACTGATGCAAACAGCCCCGCCCCGGGCCCCGCCCCACGCCCCGCCCCACGCCCCGCGCCCCGCCCCACGCCGCGACAGTCGGAAGCCCATCCGTGCTGCGTGTACAACAAAGGGGAGACCCAGCGTGTGCCTCGTGGGTCAAAGGACGTCCGGAAAAACAGGGATACAGTCCGGATACGTCCCAGAGGCAGGGAGGTGGCAATGTACAACCCACTCCACCTAATGGGAAGGAAAATGAGAAAAGGAGCCGACGCCAAGGCCGCCCCCACCTCAGCGAGAGGCGGCCCCCAGTCACTGAGGCCAGGAGGTCCTACCTGTCAGCTCCAGAAATCCAGGTGTGAGCCCTTAGCAGAGAGACCGATTCCCGGAACACAGAGCCACGCTCTGTGGGTATCGCAGAAGTGAAGTGATCTCTGCAGAGGACCGGACCGCCTGGCTGGAAGAAGCGTCATTTTCCTCCCACCTTCTCCAAGGAGTTGGACGGTGTCTCAAGCCCGAAGCGGTGGCCTTCGGGGTGCGGACAGACTCGCTCCGGCCCGTGGCCTCAGGATGGCACGGGCTCAGGGGGACGTTCTTCTGTCTGGTCCTTTCTTCGTCCTGGGCCCACTTCCAGCCCCCGGCGGAAAGCCTTAAAATGACATTTCCGTTGCTTTTCTTACGGATGGCCAGGGAAGGTTTGAGAGAGGAAGCGGTGTATGATTAAGGTAAACGAACGAGCTGCGGGGGAGAGGAGATGCCCTGCTCCCTAACCCGTCTCTGCTTCCCACCTCACAGCTCCCTCTTGGAAGGACCTCTGCTCACCAGACCATCCAAGCTAAGCGCCACCGCCCCCTGCCCCCCGCCGCCGCCAAGGCCCTTGGCCCAGTCACGTGTGCAGCGTCCCTTTTCCATACAAAGTATGGTTCCCCCGGTCAGGATGCGGACGTCTTTGGGGACCATTGTCCTGTCTCATCCCCTGACTACAGCATATGTGCTGAGCCAGGACAGGACCTGCTTCTGGACAAAACCAGGGATGGGTAGTGGACCTGCCCCTCACGACCTAGAGTTAAATATAGTCAGTGACTTTAAAATAAAGCTAAGTGCTATGCGATTTAGGTTCCTTGGCCGCGGGTGGCCTGCCCCCTTTCAGAAGCTGCTGGAGTCCTCCTGACTCCCCAGGGCCCAGCATGGACATGCCTTTAACCCCTCTGTGCAAAATCCATGCTTTCTTCCTGGTGTGCCCTTGACACTGGGTTCATATTCCCAGTTCCTACCCCGTTCTGCATGGTTCCCTGCACCTGCCTTGCTGGGTGATATTTTCCTGAGTCACGCTGGCAGCTAGAACCTTCCCCACCCAGTCAAACACTCCACACAGTGCCCCCGGGGGGCACTGGCCCATCAGACAGGTGTGTGAGCTTGAAGAGGGCAGGGGTGCCCCAGAGAAGCAGCAGGACGCACAGGAAGAGGACCACCAGGGCTCACTGGGGACCTGGGCCGTGCCCTCGGGGGCCCACAGCCCTGTGGCTCGCCCTGCGCTGGGCCTGGGCCCCTGCCTCCGCCACGGCGGAGCTCCCAGCTGTGGGTCCAAATAAGATGGGTTTTCTCAGCTGGAGCACGTCAGCCGGCAGTCTTTAAGAACAGACAGGTTTCTGCTGAACACCTGAAACTAACACAGCTTCAATTAAAAGAAAAAAGGAACAGATAGGTTTCTACAAGGCCTTTGCTGGATGATTCAAAACTACCTTAATGACACTAGAGCACACTTTTTTTTTCAAAATGATGTCTCTTCCACTCTTTAGCACAACCAGCAGGAATGATCTAGGTCTTAGGCTTATAAGCAGGGTCTCCAACCTCGGAGACTTAGTGCCTGATGATCTGAGATGGAGTGGATGTAATAATAATAAAGTGCACAATAAATCTGATGCACTTGAATCATCCAGAAGCCACCCCCTCCCCCCCCCCCCCACCCAGTCCTTGGAGGCCAAAAAGGTCCGTGGTGCCCAAAAGGTTGGGAGCTGCTGGCCTGCAGGGTCACAGGGAGGAGAGTTGATGTGTCTGGTAAAGCCTGACTGGCTCACACAGCTGCCAGAAGTTCCCTGTTACTTTGGTCCCAGGTCACACTGCTCGCTTTATGCCCAATCGCCAAGTTAAAAGAGGACTAACTCCTCAAAACTTTGAATAGGAGACTCAGCCAAGAGTGCCCACTTCTGCTCAGTTTGTAGAAACACGTGCCTGTTTGGATACCAAGCTGACAGAAGACCTAACAGCAGGTGCGTTTGAAGAGCAGGCCCAGAGACTAGACACCTACCACCGGACTTCAGGCCCATCCCTTTTGGCTTCTGTTCATGTCTAGAGGGCTTGTCAGAGATGCCTCAGATTACATTTCTGTCCAACTAGTGGGCAAAACAGCATCAAACCCATTCTCCTCTAGTTTGTTTGCAGGGGAGCCCAGAGGGCAAGCCACGTGACCAGCCAGCCGAGACCACCTTCCAGAGCCTTGGCTAGTTCGCCCCATTGTCACATTAGTGTCCTCTCTTCTCAGGAATTAGCCCCATGGTCTCCCAAAACAATGGTTCAAATCAATTTTCAGAGCATCCGCTTTAATGAGCTAAGAAGGGGCTAACACCACATTCTGCAAGCTGCAGCTCCCATTCTATTTAATCACCTCCCTCTGTGGATTTAAAATCCACCAGAGCTTCAGAGCAATGGGAATTTCATCACTTTCCCAAAAGCCTGTATGGTAAGTTTATGCCTACAGACCAGGAGATGCTAAGGTAAGCAGCGTCCATCAAAG